TAAGCATGTTGTTTTAAGCGTCTCCTCTTTATGTTGAGTGGTCTGAGGACACGTGCATGTAAAACAATGGTGTTCGGTGTATAGTCTTGGTTATAAACATTATTATCAGACAACATTTCAAGTCGATTCCTCTACCTTGTGATGCATTAAAGTATTAAGCTTGAGTTGTATATTCCCCAGGGAGCAGAGAATGAAAAACCTGGTACACATTGATTCATTGACTTGGCAATAATGGTACGCGCTTTGGGCATCTACGAGTATGGGGTTTAGGAGTGTGTTAGAAGCTTCAATACAATTTTACACAGACTTTGTTTCAATACTTAACAAAGTTGCATTTTGTCACGTTGAGCGATTTGTAGTATGTATATCCTGCAGGATTTGACTGTTTGAATTAATGTGAGTTCCATACTTTCACCATACTTTCCTATCTCGTGGTTATTTTGGTACCCGTGTGTGACTCAAGTGGAGTGCGTTGAACTATGTCCTCTGTGTTGTAGGTTGTTTGTTAGAAAGCAAACTGAGCCAAAGCATGACATTGGCACTTGAATGATGGTAAATGTGCATTAAATGCCCTATGATCGTGAGCATTACGGTTGTGCCTCGTGTATATGCATTGTTTAAAAGATGGACACCATTTCCCATTCAATGCCACGAGATTCACGAGAAGATTTTATTTTAATAGAATAAAAATTTGTGTCTCAACATGTGATAATTCAATTTCTGAGATGTAAAAAGTGTTGATTGCTGAAGACGATAACTAAAAGAAACATCTTTTTATTTCAAGCTTTATTTCATTGCTGTTCCTTCCCTTATACCCGAGTGTCATCTTTTTAGACAATATATGACAAGGACATGTGCGACATGCCGATTGTCTATTTGGTCCATTCTCAATAACCAGAAAAGAAAAGCTACAAACACAGGATATGATAGCTTAATTAAAATAAAGTATACTCATACGCACACAAATATATGGTCAGAAATCAAAATACATATTATAATTAAATTAAAATAAAGTTCAAACATACACGAAATGTACAGGCGGACCAATCAGAATTCAGGATACTAAAATGTTACTGTAGTTTAACACATACATTGGGTTTAACAGCAACAGTACAACAACTTAAACACATACACATTCAGTGTCAAGGTAAATCAGACAAACTGTCAAAGCAAGCTCCAGACAAAGCGGAGTATCAGCCTATTTCCTTAAACAAACGGATGATAAAAAAACAAGATCAAAGCCTCCATAGCCCCATTGCAAGCCCTATGAGATGCAAAAACAATAGGCCAAGGGCTATGCACAATTCAACACAAAAGCCAAAAACAACATACTCATATTCAAATAAAAGAAACGTTCATCTATCGCTCACGTGTTACGGGAATGTCAAGACCATGCCCCAGCCCGGGCTAAGTTGAAACAGGAATTACAGTTAAATCCGCTATTGTTCGTAGCTCTCCTAATGCCAAGAGATGCAGCAGCGTAGTCTTTCTGAAAGATGATCAGCTGCTCGAACGTATCTAAACCCAGCAGCAAATCAAATCTTATCAATTGCTAAAAGCAAATATTGCACGAAAAAATAAACCTTATCCATACTCAAACAGACGTCTTACCAATACTAACATTCCAATTGATATGTGGATCCGACTCACAAACGGGTCCCAAAGAAGGGTAAGCCCGCCGAAATTTCTGAGGCAAAGTTGTGCGTGTCATGACTTGGTCAAACCACAAATATAAGACACATATCTATGTCATTTTCAGTTTCCAGAATTTTGAAGTAAACACACATATGATTTGGTCACAAACACAATCTGTCAGATGGAACAACATCTACAACTCTAAATTCAGCTCATTCACACATTAGTAAACTGTTTCATCCTAAACTGGCTTCCAAGGATGATCGCCACAATGAAATTGCTTCACAATGTTTTGCTGACTATTGTGACGTCTTCCGTTACAATCACGTGACATCATAAACCTCTATGCAACTGAAGCTGGTTAACTGTACACTTTGTTTACAACCAAAACACTGTTTTAACCGTTTACAAACTCGGATTTCGGATGATAAATAGAATGTCACTCTTATGTCTTTTAATATGAAATATATGAACACGAATCGCTTAAAGTTTAAAACTGTTATGGATTCGTGTTGAAATATCTCAAAAGACACTCGGCTGAGATGTAACATGTAAACAACAAATAATAAGTCGTTAAAGAATGCAAAACACATCACAAATTCAGGTTCGTGAAACCACGGACGTATATACGTTTTTGGTGAAACCATGTCATGCTTTATGGATGTTAAAAAATCTATAGGCAAAGTATAATCATTTATTGTATTTATTTTATTTGAAATGCGTCTCATGCGCCAACCGAAGCTCAAACCCAAGTAAAGAATTTACGCTACGATAACACGTGCTGACAGTATATGATAATATCATGAGAAGCCATAAGGAAATAATATCATCAAATCTTGGGGACGTAAAATGTACTTAATAATTATGGTATTTCAACTAATAATGATTTATGGAAATTAATGCCAGATTTAATAAATATGTTTCATTATCAGATTACATTCCTGAGAACATCCTGGATTTTAATTTTGGAATTTAATATATCCATTGTTTCATCACTACACAATTCACCACTTATTTGTAAAGTACTTCCATAGGTGGATTATCTGTAGACAGATTCAGATTATTCTCCCTCATGGTTCTCAGCAATATCCTGAATCAAAGAAGGTCCACATTTTAGCCTGTAAATATTTTTGAATTGTCGGTGAACTCATAATATATCTTTATAGAATGGTGAATGTGGTCGCTTCCCACTCTATTTGGGGACAACTACATATACCATACTCGGAAACTTGTGGCCGTGTGTCATGCGCCTTTAAAAGTGGGTTATTGTTATTCTCTCGTGATTTGGGATCTTGCGGACAGTTGGTGACCACATGGCTTTTCTTTAGTGTCCAAGTAGACAACATGTTTGAAAGCTTCTGTGTAACATTGCACAACATCCCAATGTGTATTATGTATAAAGAATTTCCATTTTTAAAGCATAGATGCATTTAAAAACTTCTGAATGAAAAGGAAGTTTCCCTTTGTAAACTCTAGATTCAAGTCTCGTCTTCTCAGCTTAAAGTTTAATGAGGATAGAAGATACCGGTTTGTTCAGATGATTTACTAGGTGTTTAGATTATGCTTATAACATACGACGTCAGTTTATATAGTTATCAAATTTATTGTATGTATCGTTATACATACTTGCCTTTGTAACCCAAATGTAAACCTGCTAATGTGCCAGAGGCCTTAGTACAATAATAGTCTTTGACTTCACCTGTGTGTCGAAGTATTTCGGGATATTTGTGGACATTCAGTCTGGGAATGAATTTTGTAACCAAAACATTTATAGTATTATACTATGAAAATAGTAAATTGATACCTGTAGCATTACATTGGTCAAGCAATCCTTCAACGGAATTCAACATAATATACTGAGCACTGATAAATGTTCTATTTGTCTGGCCCAACTCATCGATTTGTAAATGCTAACATATCTTACCTCAAACATATTGAACACATACGAATAGCTTTTGGTTTAGGTTTGTTTCATATGGCGAATATTGGTTTCTAATAAATGCTGTGCTACTGATAAATATATCAACTTCACACAATGAAATTAACAGTTTTTGGCCAAGAATAAAAACTACTTCAGCATCTGTAACCTTTGATTTGTGCCATTGTGAAAATATGATTAATTTCAAATTACATTGTCTCACTGGATTCATAAATGTTTTTGCCCAAAAGCCATTTTCACAGGAAAACAAACGTAACAGTCTTACTGCGGTAGTCAAGTTCCTTCTAAAACAGATTTAATATTTCATATTCGGAGGGCTCTTTCGTGATTTCTTAGGAGTATAATTCTTGTTGTGTCCCCACTTCAAGTCATATGATGTTATTGTCTCTGTAAGGAGTAGCCGAATATTTTTGTATTATCCTTTACCCACATCACTTGTTTCAGCACTTCATGTGATGCATTATTGTAAAATTCGAGTCATAGAATATAATATTTTAGGTCGAAATTATCTATTATCAGAGTATTGATGAATATGGTCACCGGCGGTAATAGCCGATTCTCTATAACATTCCCTCAATATATGTAGATTTGTTTTTTGTGTGCTTTTTTCTGATTTAAGTATGAAATAACGAATAGGAATAGTAGAAAATGTAATGATGACATAATAATATAAGGTAAATAAGCTCAGTAACTGTACATATTAGCGCCAATTTTACATAATATACAAAAAGGTATCCCACCAACACAACTCAACTATACTAACACAAATATTGTCATTGTCAGAGCAACACTATAAACATGATTCATATACTAAAGATAAAGATTTATACCACACGATGTCCAGTCAGCATTTAGCATGGTCAGAAAGCAAAAACGTAGAACATAACAATATAATACTGAGCAAACCTAGATACAGTCACTATACCTTTGGCCATACTGGTTATGACCACAACAATCTAATATGTGAATACATCCTACAGTAATATCAAGCACGCACGTACAAGCAACTCGTCAGTTTACATAGTATGGTACCTAACGACTTTGTCACTCGAACAACGGTGTTCAGGGATAGTGCAGGTTATTTGTGAAAAGCGTAATAATTCCCACGTTTAGTTTTCTAAATTACTTAAATACACTCAATCATTCAGCTTAAAACAGAGTTGATTTATCTAAGAAATAAACGACTCGTTTATCGTACAGTAAAACACTGCAGGGAGAATACAGCATGAGGGTTACCATGGTTTATTCTCCCTGCAGTGTTTTATTGTACGATAAACAACAACCACTAGTTGTTTATTTCTTATAGGAGATATTAACATTACGTACAGCCTTTTTAAGGTACACGCTTTAAACATATTTACCCATATTTAAGTAATTATTACTCCCTGAATAGAATCCGACCGCGACAAGGGGGGGGGGGGGGGGGGGGGATTTGGTCTCTCCCGCATATTCTTACAAGTTTCACGTCGATTATCTGTGCCTTTACTACCAATAACGATTGTCTCTCCCACTTTTTGGTGCCATCGTTCGATGAACGCTCATCTGCGCTGTCCAGCTACATCTATGTGGAACAAATCACTAGACACTTCCTCTCAAAAATAACGTCGTCCAATTTACGACGTCATCAAGTTGCGAGTGCATTTTCGAATCTCCAGAAATGACGTCATTAGAGAACAATGTTTTTTGGTGAAAAGAACCACGCTTCGTTCTTCATTGTTCTTTGCGATTTATCACGTAGCTATCCTATATATGGAATTAATGAGACAAAGTTCTGCATGTCGACAGGTATGCTGGTATGAGTTGTGTGCATGTTTAGCCTTTACACGGGCAGGGATAGCCTGATTGTTAAAACGTGGGCTGGATACACCAGTGGCCCGTGTTCGATTCCCGACATGAGGACAGGAGACGTAAAACCGTGTTCATTAACTTTGTCTATGAAATTTCATACTCAAAGTCATAACATCCAGTCGTGTGTGCGCAATGAGTTTTCTTTGAAATTTTTTCTTTCTCAAATTCATTGCCCACACCTTGTGTTATCTTCAGTCAAAGATGGTCTTATCTGATTCAAATCTCCAAAGAGCTTCCGCGATTTCTCTTTCGTCCCTGATGAGGACTTCCTGAAATTTAAATGAAAGAAATCAAGGCAACATTAAAATTTCCCAAAATAGAGAAATTTTACCATTATAACAATGTTTCGGTTTTGCGTTCATCCACACATGTATAGGTCAGTCCTTGTGTTAAAGAATAATTGTATGCATTTATGATTTCAGTTACCGTCATATATACATGTCTATATCAATATGCCTCGTAATAACGTGTTTGGGGGCGGAAGTGTAGCCTAGCTAGAACGTTCGCCCGTCACGCCGAAGGCCCGGGTTCGTTGCACACATCGGTAGAATTTGTGAGTCCCATTTCTGGTGTCCCCGCCGTGCTAAACACCATATTCACTCACTTACTCACTATTACGTGTATAGAGCACCATAGAACATAACATCAAATTAGCAATATATAAATTGCATTTTTCACAGTTATACATAAATTAATAATCAAATATAGTATCATTTGTCGGATACTTTTCTATATGTTGACAATAAAGTGTATGTTTTTGCCTTTATTGAGCCTATTCATCCTGACAAATGTTGCTGTTGTTGTTGTTGTTGTTGTTGTTGTTGTTGTTTTTATCTCAAGTACGTGTTTGCCAATTGTCAGTTGTCAGAAGTAGACGTTCAAAAATGTATATCAGTATAGTTTGTCAAAGTGTTATTTTTGTGTTGTGATAACATACTTCAATGGACAGACAAATATCTCCCTCTTGTTAATTGACTATACAAGGGTTCCGTTCAAACATATCTACTCTATATGATACCGCCTTTTCGGCCTGTGATTATAACTTGTTCATCTAAAATACTTGATCCCATAGAATCACGGCCATGATGTACAATACAAAGCGAATGAAATAATAACCACAATGAACCAAGTATTTAATATTAGACATACAGAACTGTTCAAAGTTCAAAATACATGTATTAAGGAACCGACCATTTGCTATTCTTGTCGGCGGGGGGTGGGGTGTGTGTGTGTGGGGGGGGGGGGGTGGTAACAGCTGGTCCCTGAAAATTCTTGATATTGCCTCCCAACCAAACCCCTCCAAACCCAGCCTCACCCCAGCACCAGACACACGCACACACCTCCCCAGAATATCAATGCTTGGCCCCTGACATATATAGCAGCAGCGCTTTTAACGTTCTGCAATTTATAGCAATGAATCAGAGGTTTTGTATCAGTAATCAGTATCAAATATTGATTGGCTGCCTCTGAGTAACGATCCTTCCCCCTTCATGAAACAGACCATGACTATTTAACCAACGAAACAGTGTATTCAACTAGACTATATGTGCCTGTGTGGACTTTCCGCTGAACAATGCTAGTTACCAGGAATTAAATATAAATGATGACAAAATAATAGTATAATACGTTACACTATTGCTTTGTGTTGTGTGATGAACAAAGATAAGGAATGCTTACCTCCTTTTCATTCAGGCGGGCTTTAGTCTTCAGTTGTTCAATTTCCCTTTGTAAGTTTAATAACTCTGCCTTTGTGAGTTGTGAATACTCAATGTTATCTACAGCAAACCGCAAACCACCAAGATTCGTTTCTGTGGGACATACGTAACACACAACTGGGCCAGACAAGGAAAATCCCAGGTAAAACGATACAGGTCTCTCTGACAGCTCAAGAGGTCTACATTTCAGGTTCCTCACTTCTATTTCATTATCTAGTCCATATTGTTCCATGTCAGCAACAATGCTTATAGCACAACTGTTGTGTCTGATCTTAGTGTAGCCATATACTAACTGAAGTCTTTCTTTGATATCATGTCTCTCCCACACTTCCTCTCTGAGGTCCTTTTGTTTCCTTTTACCAAACAGATGAGAATGGTATATAAACCGAGAAAGTCCCCTCTCTTTTCCAAGGAAAAAGAGAGTAACACTGTGGTAGATATTATTTTCACGTTTGAAAAATTCATTTTCAGCTTTTAGTTTTTGATGCTTTTTAGCTCTGGATTCATCAAAAAGATAACGCATTGCTTTCTTCATTAGGTCATGATCATACTGTATTTCTTGTGTCTTTCGTGGCCATTGCAACATCACTATATACATATACGCCATATGTATCACATTTCGTTTTCTTTCGGCAAGTATTATCTGCTTACAATATCCGTACAGATCGGTCATGCTATTTTGCTTCGCAGCTCTCATTTGTGCAAGTGCTAAATTCACTGCAACAAGAGTTAGATAGTCATCCGCAGAAGCCTCTTTGATTTCCTTCAAGTGTCTACGGACTGTATACAGTAGTTGAGTAGCAGCGTCTTTGGTGTCACTTAAAGTAATTCTGAAGATGTCAACTAATCTCTTTCCACCCAAACTCACAATACACCGCCTATGCCACCCATCTCTGAGTTCATCTGATTTCACATAAGGAGGCGGATCATTTAAATCTGTTCTTGGGCAAAAGAAATTTATAAAGTCTTCAAACATGTCCGGAAGTTTACCTTTTATGCATCTAGAAATTCTGTGTGCGTCATTCTGTTGATTATACTTTGACGCATATGAACATTGTTTGTAATATATGTGTTCATCTAACTCTTCAACTGCTTCAAAACCTATAGAAAACAGCATTTTGAGTTTACTGTGATAGTTCTCCCAGCAAACTACAGCTTCTGGAACAACATCTTCTGTGAAATAATTAGATAGTTCATCTCTCCTGATGCCAACTATTTCATTGATGAACCTCGCTATGCATAAAACTGTTGAAAGAGTATCATGATGTGCCAAAAGGTTCTTTTCAAATTTTTCACATGTACATGCATTTTGGAAATGCCTCAGTGCTTCCAATGCCAAATCTAATGCACCAGTTGTTGCTTCATCTGCTGGATTTACAGGATTCTTTGAATCCCATATTTTTAAATTCAAAAAATTTTGCTTGAAGACATTTTCGTAAGTGTGTAAAAATATTGATCTTCTGGGACTTAGTTCCACAGCCTGTTTTGCCCACTCTTTGGCCAAATCATATTCCTTGTAGTGTACGTGTAAACGAGCCAGTTGATGTGCAATGGAACTGTCTTTCAATAATTCAAAACCTTTCCCTAAAACATTTGCTGCAGGTTTGCACTGACCACTTTCAGAAAGTATGCTTGCGATCAATGGGCTGAAATAGGTATTTTCATCATCATTATATTCTTCCTTCTTGCGTCGCGTGAGCATTTCAACGGTCAGTTGGTTCAGAAACTTTTTACCATAGGAAGTCGTCTTGAGAAGATCTGATCTCAGAAAATCCATAGCAATACTTGATAGCTCACAGTAAAGATATTTAGTTTGAATGCATCCAATAACAGCTCTCGCTAAGTTTGGATGTGCCATCCGAATCTGTTTCCCACTTCCATATTCTTTCATCTCAATCAGCAGTAATATCTTAAGGGGGCCATCTAAGTTGTTTTCCCAAAGGGAGTTTTTTTGCAGCCCAGTGTCTATTCTCGAGTGAAGTCCCATATGTTCACTACAACATTCAACTGGGATTGCTATAGCTGCCCCTCCTTTTGGCGGACTAACATATCTGATCACAAGAGCGACATACATAAGTAGTTTGAATAGTCTATCCTCAACGTTCATATCCTTCAGTAAATTGTGAATTGTTTCTTGAAGAAATTCCTGTTCAAAGTTTGAATGCAAAATCATGAAGGAAATGAAATATTCTCCCTTGAAATGTGTAAGGCCAAGGTCTCTGCTTGTGTCTTCTAGCTGCTGTATTTTGTTCGTAAGCCATTCCTTTTCAGCCTTCCCAACCTTCTGTGGAAGATAGACCAAAGCAGAAATGTCTTGGTGGTGTGTTCTAGGGAAACTGTTGATAGACTCTTCTCTTTTACAAATGAGGAAAACACATACAGGTTTTTTTGTATTGCTTTCCATCTTCCACGATTCTATTGTTACAAGGCGATGCAATTCATCAAGGTCCAGCTTATATTCAATAACAGAATCGATCACCAGCAAGACTGGTTGTGCATATCTGATATCTTTCTCTTTGTAACGCCAAAATGAAAGTATGTCCCCCGCCGTTTTCTCAAGTAGTTTTGTTACAACTGCGCATCTAAAGTCCTTGTGGAACTCCCAAAGGATGTGTCTGACTAAAGTTGAACCCCCTGCACCAGGTTCATGGTTAAGAATAATAGGAACAACTTTTGTTTTATCTGATTTCTGACCTGTAAGAGCATCATGAACCTTATTCCTCAAGTTCCTAAAGCAGTGCCTTGTCATAACATGTCCCTCAAAGAAAAAGTTCCACCACTCAACCCTATTACCTTGGTAAAACTTCAGTTCCTTCTCTTTACCAAACTGTTGTTTATCCAATGGTGTTTCAAACTGTCTATCCTCACATTGATTGTAGCTCAAGATTTGCAGTGTATTCCAACTTTCTTGAACTTTTAGTTCTACATCTACTGCACCTCCAGTGCTTGTAGGTATTGATGTAACAGATTGTTTCTCAACACCTAGTAAAGCATTGATAGTATCATTAGTTTGTTCCCATGTCATTCCAACAATACAGTTACGTTCAAGGTCTTCAAGGTCTACAATGTCCTGAAGTAGTGCTTGTTCTTTAAATGACTTGAAAATGTTTCTGTCTTCACATAACAGTATTGTTTGACTGTCAAAGAATGTTATCATCTCTCCAAATATATGAAGAAACCCGTCAAAGTCATTGCCTTGAAGCAGAAATAGTATTATTGTTCTCCCAAGTGGTATTACTGATCTCTGTTGAAAAAAGTTTATTGCAGCTTTAACATTTGGAGAATACTGTTTCTTCCAGTCGCGTTTTCTGAGGTGGGGTTTTCTTATTTCAGAGCGTCCATTGCAGTATATGAATACATTGTTTTCTGGTAGTTTTAATTGGTCCCTTAAATCATTATTGTTCTCGACATCCCTAAAGATTTCTCCACTTGTAAGGGTTGTTTGAGGTGTACTGAAAAAATGTTTGCATAAACCATTGCAGGATGATTCATCATCAAATTCAAAAACTGCAGACCAGTGAATATTTGAAATAAAACTGAGAGCTTTTAAAAGGTTTTCTTTCAATTCATCTGATGGCTTGCTTGAAACTAAAATAGGCCAAAGTGATAGGTTAAAATGATTGCTGTGCCTGCATAATTTGTTACAGAGTTTTTCTGCCAAGTATTTATGGTCGTTTTCAGTGGAAAATTGTCTACTGACTGATCTCTCTTCAATTTTGCGTTTTTGATCCCATTTACTTAGGGTACGTACAAAATGTAATTCCTCTTCTTTGCTATCTATCCTCCTAGTTTCTGCATCATCACGAACGAATAGAAATGGATTTAGTTTCTTTTTACATATTTTTGTCAGATCCAACTTGAATTTTATGCCTTCGCAAAAGGATGAATATGGTTCAATGTCAACCTCCATAACAAACAATGGTACCTGTTCGGAGGAGGGGGCAACTTTGACAAATACAGGTGTTTTGATACATTCCTTTGCTGCTATATTTGCTTCTGGTGAGTCAAAGCATTTTGATTTGGCCTCATTTAGTGCATCTGCGTACTTAGTTTTGCTATCCATGTCTACTTCCATGATGGGGAATCCAACTACCTGGCCATGTCTGCGTTTAATCCCATCAACTGGTTTGTCATCTGCTATTCCAAAGTATATTGTTCCGTTACGACGTCTATTTAGGCAGCCACAGGCAAAACGCAATGTTTCTTTCAGAAACTTTTCTATTGGACTGTTTTGGTTAACAGTGTCAAGACTCGAACAAAAGTATTTAAACTCTATGGAAGGTGTTATCATTCCACTTCCACATTCAGGAATATCTATTACATAGTCTTTGAAAATATACCGTTGAGAGGCAGTCTTGTTTAAATGGCCTTGGTCTCTGGAATTGAATGGCAGTCTTTAAATCATTTATGGTAGGTTTTTGAGAAAAGGTATGTGTCTTTCCATATCTTTCCTTCATTTCACCATGATAGGTCAGGTCAAATTCATTATCTTTTTCACCTCCTTCAGAGAATGCTTCTCTTGATTTCTGTGTATGAGAAAGGCTTTTAGTTGGTGTATTCAATGTCAAGGTTGTCACATTTGTGATTGTTTTGTCAATGCAATACATTTTGTTTGTGACTTCCTTTACGGAAGCAGTCAAACAACATCTTCCATCAAAGATCTTATAAACCTGGTCTTTGGTGTCAATAATATCTTCGTGTAAAATAAGAATATGATATTTGTATTGGTCCCTCTGTTTTGGAGTTAAGTGTTCATATTTGATAACCTTTTCTCCAACTGGACAAAGTCGAACTGATTTTTGTCCTTTGAACTGAAATTGATTTTCTCCTTTCCCTTCTACAAAATCAGATTGCAGTACCTCGGGTAATGTCTGTAACCAGGTTGATGTGCTTTGAACAATCACCTTCCACAGCTCTTTTCTGTCGCAAGATTTATCAAACTGATCTCCTTTGCATAATACCCAAAACAAAAACATCCGAGCGAGTTGGTGACTTGGTTCCCAAGAACTGTGAATTGCGATAAGTTGATGATCTGATTTTTGTCTGACATCATTGGTTTGCTCAATATCTAATCCCAAATGTTTTCGTAGAAAGGCGATAGATGGACTTTCTAGGTGTTGTGATGCATCAGCTGGCTTCTTTGGTGCGCCAGGCGATAATTCTGATGTATGTTCACTGGTTGTTTTAGACACTAACTGGGCTGTAGGTTCAGTTGATATGTCGTGTTCTGGAGCAGTTTTAATCTCTGTCTCTATGTCAGTTCTTCCCTTGACATTCTTTGTTCCTATTGTATCTTTGGTAAACTCTTTCAACGCCCTCTTTATACATATTAACAACTTCCTACCTAACACCTTTTTGATGTTCAAGTCAGTAGCAAGTGTTTCAGGATTCTCGTACAGCATTGCCACAAAACCATCAATGTGTTCATTTCTGATAGCCTGCAGAATCTGATCAAGGTGTTTATCGTCCTTAAAAGTTTCTTTTGCAACGCCACATATATGATCAGGTGTAAATGATTCAAGTGATTCTTTACTCATACCAGATATCCTATCCCCTGTATGGTTCTCATTTAGATATAGAATTTTCCGACAAAAACCCATGGGGAGTCCAAGCTCTTCATTTATGTCACTCGCTTTCATGTACTCATTCAGCATTTCCCCATCTACTAATTTAACTTCATCTTTAATCAGAAGCCTGGGTACTTTGATGACGCTTAGGAGCCACTCCTGAACTTCATCTTCAGTCGCAGAATTTGGCAAACCGGCCCCTAAAACAAAGGAACTATTTATTGGAGTGTTTCAAATATATAACATGATACTCAGTTCTTTCATTTATGTCTATGTGTGATGTTTCAGAAAAGGAAGTAAGTCTCACCTTTCTTGACAACAGAGAGTTTTGTTGCAGCACCTTTCATGCCCCCCTTACTTCGTACAATGACATGGATGGTGTCATCAGGCTGTAAGTTTTTCAGTGTAGATGGCCGTATCAGTTTGCCATGATGAGTCAGCATCTGAAGGTGAGCAGGAATATTGTCTTTGTACTCAATCGCCTCCTTCAACTGAATCATATTCAGTTTCCCATGCAGGAATATTCTATATGTAGTTCTTGATTTCACAAAAAGGGAAATTCTTTCATGACTAGTTGTCGCAGATATTTCATCCTCAACATGGCCGAAAGGTAGAACAACTCGGAAGTCTTCTTTTGAAAGGCACTTCTGAAAGTAAAAACTTGACATCTCAACTTGTGTTACACATCTATGGGAATACGAATGACCATTCATATCAACAGATGGCATGTGATAAGAGGGTGGATGAAGTCATAATAATCTAGTTTGAAATCTTTCTACGAAACTGACCCCCGACGTGATATTGCAGTAATATTGCTAAAAGCAGCCTAAGACTATACTCACTCACTCACTCACTCACTCACTTCTATGAAACTGTAGTCGGTTCAGGTTCAGAAATATTCCTAATATGTATCGATCGGAACAAGCGTGTTGTGATATTTGATTAAAGTATATCATTATAGCTGGAAAAAAAGAAAAAGGAATCAAGTTTAAAGTGACCTTATGCCTGATGAATGTTTTCATCCTCTTTTTGCGTGCCGGGGGTGAAATGTTCACATCTCTTAATGATGGTCTGGCTTTCATCAAATACAAGGCATTTCGTTTTGCTTTCCTTTTCTTGGACGCCATCGTTGATTTTTCGTGAGGAATGTCTGACCAGAAAGGATCCGTCTGTGATCTGTATATTTCATATTCCGACTTCATCTTCATATGCTTGTCTGAACTGTCTGGTTTATACCTACGGGATATGAAAAGTTTGCAAATGTATTCAAGAAAGTGCATGTCAAACTTCACTATCGTTAAAATTTCAATATATTGAATTTTTTCATGAAATAAACTGTTCCCCAATCTCATTAAAATCATACCATAGTGCTCGTTACTGCTACACAAAAATCTGAGGACATCCCATTACAGACCACGTCAGAGCGACCTTTCACGAACTTTTACTGACCAATGAAATGACCATCAGGACATAAGCCAGCACTGGTTTCAAACTGGCAACTTCCAGACTACGCATTGACACATATTTTGACCAGTTTTACAGAACACATAGCTGTGTAATGGTTTCCATACAGAATCCTGACGTCCCCTAGAACGATAACTTTATTTGCTATTTCCTAACAACACCATTACACCGAGTGGCAACATGTTTATGATACTGTTATTAAAATAATATATTGCGTGAAATTTGTGAAAGGCTTTCCTTCCAATCTACAGGATGAACATTGTTTTCAATGCCCAGAACAACATGACTGTTTTAAGATGACCTGATGTTTGAAACTAAATATGATAAACGCATCTCTCAACTGTTTGCCATCACAAAAATGTTATTAATTTTCTGATATTGCAAAACCTGTTTCCGAGATGTTAAGAGTCACGTTACATTGCTCTGAACTCTCATTATGTGACCCTATTCAATTCGTCAGTTGATTCACAACATCAATCCTCAAAAGTCTCAACACTACCTGTTTAGATCAGTAACAATAGCTCTGTAAAAGAGGTTTTTCAACCATGTAGCACACAGATGCATGACAACTCTCACCGACATCACACCACTACATCAGCACGAAAACTTTGATAGTGTTAATCTTGATGACAGAGCGAGTGACTCTTCTGACGACACAAGTTCCCACGTCATATCAACTGCATGTGGAGTTCTGATTGGCAACATGCAAGACCTGCAACATCCCATCAAGACGTAGTGCCCCGAGAACAAATGGATGTCGTCAACGAAAACGTGCGATATATGACGAGGACAGCGACAGCAATGACGTGTCTGTGCATAGAGGACGCAGGGTTCAACATAACCTGGCCTGCAACGCGCGAGGGCCCGTGTTAAGATATGTATCAAGAGGACATGAAACTCATACAGAAAAAGTATCAAGAACATGGAAAGTCAGAGGAACTGACCGATAGGAAGCTGAAAAGAACATGGGAAAACACATTTGAAAGTACACTGAATTCTATCCTTGCATTTACTTCCTATTTCTCAGAAGACCAAGTGTTTCGTTCTTTACTACACAGGCTTAGTTACATGGATCTCTCAACAGATCAAACAGATTTCAAGGATTAAGCGCACATAATTCAAAGATAATTCTCTGAAAGCAACTTTTACCAGCAACTATTTTGGAAAGTAATTGCCTGATGGCTTCCAAATTTGGGAGTTGCATCAGATACCCTTCAATTTCGTCTCAACGCCTTGACGCGAAATCGCATCAGACCCGTGAAGATGGGGTAGAATTGATATTCACCAAACTGTGCTTCTCATACTAACGGACTAACGGAATTGGGTTGTCAGCCTCGGTGACATTTTTTATGCCTGTCATCGTATCCTAATTGCTTTGATCCAATGGTATAAATTACTGGAGTATTTGGTCCAGACTCAATCATTTACAGACTGCCGCCATATAATGGAATATAACCTTAAACTACAAAAAAAAATGGCTTCGTTTGGCAGCCATATTGGATTAAAGGTTTGGGCCATATGCTCCTCTCAGACTATCCGATCATACGCTTCCAAACTTTCCATACTTTGTGTCAATGCACCCGGAAAACATATTGAGATATGTCTTCGATTGCTGCCATATTGATACTACTATATACTACTTCTAGGCCAAATCATAATTATTTTCGCATGTCTTTTCTATTATCATTTTGCATTGAAAGTTATCACGCAAAGTAGTCGCAAAAGGGGTTGATATAGTGTTTTATTGGATGCTGAAGAACTTCTGTTCTTGGTCACATGTCAAACGGCATCTGATGTTGTGGTAATATTTGATTCAACATTTTCAGAGCTCATTTGCCGTTTTTTTTGTAGGGAAGACATATTCCGCAATCGTTTTCTCTGACTCTAAAAGTTGCAGTACTCACAATTTGCAGAGATAATCTCCGTACTTTCTACATCAACAATCTCTAACCGCTTTTTTTATATCTCGATTGGTTGCGGATTTTACTTCCGATTCTCATAGACTTTGCTTTAACAAAATCGTATCTTTTTTAGTTTTGCATAGACCAGTTGGCATAGTTGTGGGCCAATGCCGCATCGTTTGGCGACCATAATTGATTGAAGACTGTCTGAATGCATTAGGGGGCACGGGTGGCCCAGTCGTCTAAGGCGCCGCGATTCGCTGTGCAGAGTTGCGTCCCTTAGGCACGCCAGAAACCTATGATTGTGGGTTCGAATCCCGGTTCGCCCTGATTATGTTTCTAGGTTTGTCAGCACCATACCCGTGCTCGTGGGTTTCACCGAAGGGGTAAACGTCTGAGACCTGCATCACTTCGGCCTTTCCTCCCACATTAAGCTGACACGCCGTGATATGACTGGAATACTGTTAAAAGCGGCGTTAAACCCAACTCACTCACTCACTCACTGAATGCATTAGTTCATTAAAACAGCATAAAACATAACATATGTCAGAAGCTATAGGCCAAACAGCGTGAAGAGATGCTTATCAATTTCGACTGGTAGGGCCACAGTAATGAAGGTTCAAATAAATATCTAAAAATTGCTTCTGCTTGACGTCACACCAGTTCCTTCGTAAATGTTTAGGTAGTCAATGGTGCTTTAAGGGATATCATTGACCCTTCTTTTAATACAAAAACGCAGCGTCAACAAGCGAACAACTTCTTTATTACAATTAAGAGCGACGTTTTGGTACCTGTTCTAACACCTTTATCAAGCAAGTGCTGTACAGAGCATGGCTGACAAGTTATACAGGTGTGAGGTAGGGTTTATACGATGTACTAACAATAGTGTGGAGAAGCCAGTGATGTTAAGTGAGGTGAAATAGGGTTAAACGTCGCGTCCAAGATTATTACACTTATATAGCGACGTGCTTGCACCTGTGTGTGTGTCTGCTTGTGCTAGTCCGGCCTAATGCCGAATTATAGTGGTAGCCCACTGAGATACCATGCCGCAGTTTAACATGAATACCCCACTCAGACACAGTATACTGACTCCGAACAGACCAGTCCTTGTTTTAGCTCCTCAATGTCGACCACCAGGCAGGGTACCATCTTTTACCAAGTACCACCTTTTGCTCGCAATCAGATGGGCATGTCGACAATCACATGGATTGTGGTTCATTGTTCCTGTGCTTCTTTCTGTTGGCTGGATGGTGGTTTCCCATGGCTTTAATGGTGTTTTTGAATGTTGTTACTTCTCTTAAAAACTGGGGGCGGTCGGGTAGCCTGGTGGTTAAAGCGTTCGCTCGTCACGAACCCATGAGGTGGCTTTTGGTTAGGGTTGATGAGCTTTTTGTGGAGGGTGGGGCTGATTTCGTTGTTGTCGCGAAATTGGTCTTCATGATCTTGTGCTCTTTCTGTAGGCTGTTAGTAGGGTCTTTTTGAGCTGCTTATATGTGGATTGATAGTTGAGGATGTTGTCCATGACGACAGTTGCCTTCAACTGGGGTGATGATGATAGTGTTGTCGGTTTTAAGTTATTCAAAGTTTTCCTTTCGTGATGTATGAGGTTGGGTTTCTGGAGTTTGTCTTTGTTCAGGATGCTGGCAATCCGGTGTCTCGGGAAGTCAACATCGACCCCTGGGGCAAGTTGTTGTAAGCCCTTCTCGATGTTGGCGATTAACACATCGTTGTTGGCCCGGATACTGGTGGGTGAGAACTTCACCCTTTGGCCAGGACTGCAATGTGTTGCTGGTTGAGGCTCGTGCTGCTTAAGATGATGACAGTCTTGCTATGGTAGTCTTCAATGGCAGATGTTCTTGTTGGGTCAATGTTGGGTCTGTTCAATGAGCAGTTCTGTATGCTGACTGGAATTTATACTTGAGGGGTTTCGAAACTACATTTTCCATTAGACTCTGACTGGTTTTTCCAGTTGTTTTTTTAGGAATGTTATATAGTTACATGTACACTTAGAATAACAAAGAATTTTGATATTTTACTTTTACAGTTAATAAATGCGATAATTATCAATATATTAGATTCTGATAATTATGAAGAAATTGTGAACAATTATCATTATGATAATCACGATCAAATTGCTGATCGTTTATTCGAAAAAACGTCTCTTTATATTTCAGTGTCGCAACGATAATTGTAGTATCGTTAATTACATAATCACGATTGAAAGGATTTATAGCCGGCACTCTAGCATGTCACACCGGCATGCCTAACTTAATGAGGTATCGTGTAGTTCTCATAAACCTACAGCAGGCTTTTCACTTCTCATGTTGACCCGAGATAGACCCATTTGTGTTATCTGATCTGCCTCGGAATTACCTGATAAAGTTTTGCGTCACATCACAGGTAACTTTGCGCCTATTGAAAAATGATACCAGTAGGGATTAGATACTCGCTGTCACGCTGTATGCACATGGATTGTGTATGATTCATTGGGAACTATACATTTTCAACTGCCTTAACTGTATGGAACACACGCAGAGTGCATGAAGTATGTTGTTGTCAGAGTGACCTCGGAAGGAAGTAGATCAAGGAAGTAGATCTTTATCTAGATACACACACGGAAAGAGATATTTTTAATATGACTCTCACGAGTCTCACTAATGTGGTCGATCAAAACTGGAATATGAACGAAAAGAAACACAATGGACAACAGTTTTATATTTAATTCACGGCTTTCTGCATTGTCTTTTACGTACAGCTTCTTGTTAACGGACATGTTAATGATAAGTTAATATTGAGTTATGACTTTACAGATCTACATACGCGTCATAGCTACAGATAGCGCTAAAAGGTTCATACAGGCCGGAATGATTTCCCTAGGACACAATTGTACTTTCATAAAGAAAGACGTTTGACGTCAATTTACTTCCGTATAAATCGAACTGTACACAAATATATTATTTTTCTCTCGTTAGTTCGTAATGTAATAAAAACATTATTTCAAAATATTTCAGCATGCATAATAATGTCAATAATCTATAATAATCTATTACAACTATCTATTACCCGGAAAATTGAAAACTGATGCTCTGTTCGATTTTGCTGATATTGTTCCCATTGTTTCATGATTGTGTTCTGGGGAATATTCTGTGCATATGCTGCGAATATTTCTCCTCACAATGTCATCAACATAATGGTCCCCAATGGTCCCACAAGGGAACATGTTCATAATGTCTATGAATTTGCATAACAAGTTTATCTAGGTAGGAATGTGAACATTTTTTTCCAAATCACTAGTTGTTCCAGTTGTACATGTTGTGTGTATGTTGTTTTAAAAACATCATGTGTTAGATGTTTATATGTATATATATACCACTCGCAACATGCCATTACATTCAGATGATATGTTTGTCTTCTATGTAAACAAGACTATTACACTGTACATGTAACTTGCATGCACGCGCCAAACATGTGATCAGAAAATGTGGTTTGTAAAATATATTTCTGCCTATTGATGTCTTCTTTTTCAATTTGTTTTCCTCTGTAGCATGTTTGGTTGTTGCATTTAGAGCATAAACAACAACTGTGTTCTCATGATTGAAATGGAGTGAACGAATGAATGAAACGACAGCAGTAGTGGTGAAGGGCAGGGTTCACAAGGAACCATGGCTTCTGTGGCTTTTGTAATACCCTACAGGTAAGAGTTATACTTAAACCGACATGCTTTGCCAATGAGTTGAGAGGGTAGACGTGCTGTTCTTAGGAGCTTTGTTCAGTAAGATTTGAATACAAATAAGACACATGACTAAAGCACACACAGAATTACAGTTATTACATTATTTTTACGATATTAAAGTTAAAGCAGGACCTGGTTACACCTTTCGCGAACACCTTGGGTGTCATCACTGATTTTGACTGATCTATTCATATAATTGTGACCGCTATTTCACCTTTTACGCCCAGTTTCGTCGGATAATCGTGACTAGTTATTCTTGTGGCTGACGTTGTATATCAGATGCACATCAGATATCTGATGCATACTCGTGAACATTTGTCAACTTAAACAATGTAGGTCATAGTGTTATTATCATAATGCCGAGAAACAGTATAATGTGACCCGTAACATCAATTCAAAATGACAAAATAGCAATGTATATCGTTTAAAACCAGAAAGCCTCACCGTTTATCTTAAGAGCTACGCTTTACCCGTTACTGCTATGTTGCTCACAATACTGTTACTCAACAATAACAATAACATCGTAGCAATTTATGGCGTGTGAAGGAACACATGCAACCTGCATACTGCACTTATCAAAAGTGAAACATTATCACAAAAGAAATGATAAAGCGGTAAGAAACATAACAAGCCACAGCAGACACCTACCTGTAGTTTATCCTGTCCTCAGACACGAAGTTATGACGCCATGTTGACCCGAGAAAGGCGTCGACACCCGTTTGTGTAACTTGTTTTGCTGGTTCCCGGATGAATAGCTGATGACGTAATACGTCACGTGCACATATAACTTATGACCTATTGAAATATTGTTACAGTAGTCGATAAAGAGCAGCTTGTCACACATTCACATGCGTATTGTTCCCAATTAGGAACTAACTATACGTGTGCATGGAACACACGCAGAGTGCACGCAAGATGCTGTAGTCAGAGTGACCTTTTATCTAGGTACAAACATTCAACTGATTTGAAATGACTGAAGTTATCGGCTACGTGTAAAATAGCATCTGCTTAAAGCAGGGAGAACCTTTAATACTACTCAGACAATGTACTTGAGTTTAGGAGTAATCGATTGTATACTGTATGTCTGTAATATGAATATTTGTAAACATAAAATATGTTAATAATCGTTTGTATCATTCAGGAATTGACATTTTTCTTTGTCATGTTCTCTTACAATTACAATAAGCAGTCGACATTCGGATGGATTTTCGTAAATTGGTCACATGAGGGGACTTTATGTCATCATCCATTGCTAAATGAATAACACAGGTACACCGGAAGTAACATCGGTATTTACAGAATATCTAGACGAAATATACGCAAGTCTTAAGCTATAACAACACGTGTTTAGATCAGATCTTTTATTGCGCTAAACTAGTCAGCGTATGTACCGTTTATAACGAGATTCGAGACTTCACAATATGAGCGAAGGGAAGTAACTCTTATACGTTTGTTTCAAAACATATGGTAAAGCGGTAAATGTCAGCGAAAGGGTTACAATCCCCATAGTAAAAGAGATTATGAGCGCTGTTAACCAAACCAATCCCAAATAGTCGCAGCATTTTTACATAAAGGAATTTACTTATTAATATGAAACACCGTTCAAACTCACCCAACTTACTCAAGAAAGAAAATGTAAATGAGTTGTCTTTTCTCAAAGTCGTTCGTCATTAATATTTGACCCAAATGATTCTGGGCATGTGTACTCCGACGAAGTGGATCGTTTATCGTTGAGTCAGCCGCTCGTTTATCATGTCGCCGTGACATGCCTGGACTATTGCTGACAACAGTAGTCACTGCTATATCCGGGTACTCTAAAGTACAGTACAACCCCGCTGCTCCACTACATAAGGGAATGTCTGCATATCAACCGTAGATGACTCGATGCATCACTTCTAGGGATTTAACCTTTCTCTCTGATACCATTGCTTGCATATTAAAGACGGGGATTAGTCTCGGGTTGATCAGTCGAGGCAGTCAAGTCCTTTCCCTAAACAACCTGATATTAAATGTTTACCCTTCTAACTTGTAGTTAATGTTTACCCCTCTAATCTATAGTTAATATTTACCCTTCTAACTTGTAGTTAATGTTTACCCTTCTAATTTATAGTTAATGTTTACCCTTCTAACCTGTAGTTAATGTTTACCCTTCTAATTTATAGTTAATGTTTACCCTTCTAACATAAAGTTAATGTTTACCCTTCTTACAAGATAACTTCAACATAACAACCATGGGCATGATAACTGATATATTTGTGTATTTGTGTACTTTGTGTCCCGTACTTTTACAGGCGGGTCCAGTATCCAGAAACATCAATGACACGAATTATATTATTGTCTAACTGCAAGTTTGCAAAAACCTTTTATATGGTTGCAAAATAGAGTGACTCATTAATACAAACAGAATGAATACACGACGTCGTCATTGAAGTTGTTCACCTTTAGCATAATAAGTTTTGTTTATTTTATTAGTGGACTTGAAATCTTGTCCTAAGGGAGGACATTTAATTTAACCTAAACACACACCTATGAATCGCAATCCATTTTCAAAAATATTATTTTGTTTTTGTATTACTATTAATTTCTACTAAAACCCGAAACTGTTGAGTCCATACTGTTACCGAAGCATAAAACTGCATAATAAGCCTGCCTGTAATATACTCAACACAACTATTGAAGCGTCATCCATTTAGTTTTATGGACGATACAATTGAAGGTATCCTATTCAAACCTAAAACTAATAATTAGCAAAGCGCCAGTTGTTAAAGACCACATTAATGTGAATGTTTGTGGCTGTATTAATGAAAACCATATTTAAACCATGGTAATTATTGCAGGAGCAGGTAAACACTGACCAAAGTTAAGCATTATGTTCATGGTCACACAATCGTATCGCCCAAACACAAGTTGTCAGTTGCTGTACGTGCAAATCAGAGTATGGAGACATGATTTAAACTCTATTAAGGGGCAGTCGGGTAGCCTAGTGGTTAACGCGTTCGCTCGTCACGCCGAAGACCCGGGTTCGATTCCCGACATGGGTACAATGTGTGAAGCCCATTTCTGGTGTCCCCCGCCGTGATATTGCTGGAATATTGCTAAAAGCGGCGTAAACCCATACTCACTCACTCACTAAACCCTATTAACAGTAGTGAATGACAGGAAACACGCGTAACAATGTTTCGATTTTTGAAAGCTGGAAATCGAGGCAGAGCTATTGGGATGATGCTCCAAACTGGCAATAGTCAACGTCAGGTGGCTGCACACACCTTTTCACGTCACTCAGAGTGTGATTGGGAGACTGTGGCAGCGGTACCAGGCCACTGGAACAGTTGCCTATGCTCAAACACCAGGCCGTCCTCGAGTCACAACACAGAGGCAGGATAGGTACCTTGTGAACCTTACCCTTCGTGACCGATTTCTGATGTCACGTCAGATAAGTTATGAACACTTTAACACCGTCCGCATTAGCCAAACCACCATGCAAAGCAGATTGCGTTCTGCTGGTCTCCGTTCTAGACGTCCAGCAGTTCGCGCACCACTAACACCACGTCAAAGACAAGCTCGGACTAGTACAAGCAGCAACACACAAAAACTAATGTCCATACTGTTACTTTCACATCACGTCCACTGGCCGATCATTGATAGTACCCTGGCAGTTTGCCTTTTTGGTATTCAGTGTGTTGTGATGAAATATAGTAAAGTTATCTTTCATTAAATAAAACATTTTCTAATTATTTTGTAATTACTTCAATGTTACGAGCCTAAACTAATTAAAAATATGTATATGTTTAGTTCTCTTTTATCATTTCAAATACTTCATTGTTCCCCAAATAGGGGAATAGTTACTATCAGGAAGTCATATATCTAACTATGTTTCTTGTTTCTTGGTTGTATTGTTTTATATTTTCTGTTTACATGCCAACTTTGGTTTTCAGAAATAATCATTTTGCAAGTTTGACCTTTTATATGGCAGCTATAAACATGGACATTTTTACATATATTTGCACGAGGTTTAGTTCGCATTAATTTTAAATATTAAACAATGTTAGTTTGGTAACTGTGTGAGCATTTATTCTGTTCGTTCATCAATATTGCATTATTAATCATATTATTAATTACGATTAAGCTTGCATTTTTTCAATTTATTGAATTCATTGTTTATTAAATGTTCACAAATAGAATATTATCAATAACTATTACAATTATTCTGGAAATCATACTCTCCGTGAAATTGACTTTTATGTCAAAAAATGATTCCTTTTGAGGAATGACAATAGGTTCAACACGTGCAAAGAAAGATAACTCGTGTAGCCCATAACGTTTTTCCTAAAACAGGGCTACCTGCCTTCGACTGTGAACTGGCTATTCCGAAGCAGTAAATGTGTTGTTCTTCTCAACAATTCTATGTTTAGTTGTCGTACATGTTATAGGCAACTTTGCATTATTAAAGGTGTTGTTGTAATAAAACCATGGAGTAGTATTTGAAAAGGATGAACATGTGTTCTCCGATATTTGAAATCCACCTTCATTTGTACTGTACAAAAAGGCTATATTTAATATAGATTGCGCCATCATTCGCAAGAACGTACCGATGAAGAATTTTTTTTGAAACAGGGAGCATTAATAATTATTAATGTGAAATAATTATACAAAATTTAATAAAGTCATTTGAATTATATGACAACTGAAAATATTAGTAACAAGGATCAGTTGTTTAAAAAAACGTGTTTAGAAGAAGAAATAATATACCATTATTCGTGTTCCATTGCATATTGTTTCTGCAACTTTTTATGATGTTCATCCGTTAAAGGGATGCAATAAAGAAGTACCAACTAAAACCGGTTCCCGGTCGAGACATAATATCGCTGGGAAGCAACAATTACTGGTTGTCTGCTCTTCATAGCAAACACATTACTCCAATGGTTAAAATTTACTCAGTTACAATAAATCCATATCCTTACACATAGGTTACGTTTGTATCATTAAACGTCATTCAAAGATGATAAGAAGTCGCCATTATCCGACGAAACATATCCCCTGAACGTAAAAGGCAAAATAGCGGTGGAAATTACATGAATGGATCACTGTAAATCGCGATAAGGGTAAACGTGTCCTGCCCTGTCGGAAAAGCATGGCCATGTACCATAAACAGATAACGGTAAAGACATATTCTGTTAGTGACATGGTAATGAATGACATCACAACATACAATAAATGTGAGGAAGAATAAATCATATTTCAAATAGAATTAAAACGGTACCTCCCACAAAATGTGTGAAGTCCATTCTTGGTGGCACCGCCGTGATGTGGCTGAACTATTGCTATAAGCGGCGTAAAACCATACTCACTCACTCCTTATGAAGATGTGGACGGTTACAAGATTAATGCAACATATTTAGTTTTACTTCTGGCATGATGATCAGTGGTATTGTACATATACGGTTTTAATGTCACAATAGTTCTTATTGCCCCTAAGCTAATCAACATCATTAAAAATATCCATTTTCTTGCCAGCACCAATCTTAATAGGAAGTGCACCACATACAAAGAAAAAGAACTCGTGCTGCACTTAGCGTCTTTTTAAAGACAGACTTACCTCCCTTTGATTGTCTATTCCGATCCTGCGCCTGTGTAGCTCTTCGATGGCCATCGCTTGTTAAAACCAGCATCGCTTTGTCAGAGGTTTCACAGCATCAATATCCGAATGGTCTAAAAACATGTTTTGCAGATGAA